TGGGTGTTTCCAGTGGCATAACTTTTGTGTTGGTATTAATAAATTAATAAAAACGTGTGAGTTCACAGGGGAGGATAATCGAGAAAGCTAGAAGTATATGGCGCTGAAGTGCATACAAATCTTATTTACACACTGTCAAAACAGAACTCCACGCAGGAATTCCAAATTCACGCTCCTGGTGGCTACACTCACTATCAACTTGTAATGTTCCCTCTGCCGTGCGCATTCTTCATATGTAACCTTGCCAATTCACTAAATTGTCACAATCTACTATTTGCGGATGATCAGAAAATCTAAGCCAAAATTACAAATTTAGAGAACTGTTTTTCCCTTCAGGAGGATCCCATTGGTGTGACAGTCACTTTCTCTACTTAAACACTTCCAATTGTAAAGTTTGTCGGAAGATGAACTCAATTATTTTTGATTATTCCATAAATAATGTGGTTTTGAAGAGAACAACAGAGACTAAAAATCTTAGTGTAATATTTTCCTGTAGGTTGGACTTTACTGTCCCTGTAGCCACGCGTCAATTCGGAAACAACCCTGATTCTAGGTTTTGTAATGCGTAACTGCCGACCTCTTTCCAACAAAGTGGCACTAAAAACTTTTTATTTCATGGTGCAACAAAAACTTGAGCTTGCTTCTTTTGTATTGAATCCTATGCATATTATATAAATATCTTAGAAAACCTAGAAAGAAAATTTCTGAAATATAGCACTTATAAAATTGGTGGTTTATATCCAGAAACGGGGGTCTGACATTCTTCCATAAGCTGTTGCACCAAAACTTCTATAGGGGTTGAATTTTTGTATACCGCTTTTAAATTCGAGCAAATTTTCTACTGCAGCACCTCCCGTACCAACGTATTATTTTATTTTATATGCAATAATTCCATAGCAGACAGTTCTGACATTAATTTTTGTTTTTATCAGAAAAATCTTGTCAAACTTTTTTTATATTATTTTTATGTGATTTTTGTATGCATACTACAGCTCGTCTAGTATAGGAAGAGATATGAGGATTTGCTGGGATTGCACACATGAGAGAGGGAGAACGCATTCGGAGCAAAAGAGATGGTACATACAATATGTGATATTCGATCTCGAGTGGTACCGTCTGCGTCCTAAATTAATCGAATAATTTCAATAATGGAATACGTATTATGTGAAGCCTGCTCTTTTTAATCGAAATTGTTCCATGTGTCAAAAGGAAACCAAAACAATTTATTCCATAAAATAAGTATTGCGCGCTATCTAGCTAAAAGACTGAAATTGATTAGTACTCATTATATTTTTAATTATTAATAATTTCAATTAATAAACAATCAAATGAAAAGTGAGGTCAGAAAACTATGATCTTAGTATATACAGTTCGCAATATTTTAAAGATTTATGAAGTTTCAGAGTGGATCAAATCCTGAAAGTTCGGAATCAGAAACTGAGCTACTACTTAAACTTAAATCTTCGGTTTCGCTATCGCTATCTTCGTTTAGGTTCATTATTATTTGATCTACAACTAAGTCGAGTGCTGGTTCCATTTCGATACATTGCTTCTGAAAACCTTTGGCATGCTTACATCGCTTTTTCCATTCTTTTGTGGGATAAAGCAAGAAAAAGTCATCGCAAAGTTTGTCGACAGTCTTGAGATTAAAATCTACATTTCTCTCAGTCACAGATTGTTTCAAACCCACCACCCATACCAACACATTTGAGTTTAAGTCGGGGTGATATGGTGGCAATCTCAAAATAGAATGTTTTTTTTCAGCCATTATTCTGTCTATTTCATAAGTTATATATTATTCCGGCTTATGCATTTTGATAAGTCTATACAAATCAACTTTCAACATGTCGTCAGTGAAATGTATGCTTTTTGCCTTAGCCATTCTTCCATATGATCCTTGTTAGAGCAGATAGTAGGACATTTGTCTATCTGAACATTGTGGTACGGAGCGTTGTCTATCACCCTACCTACTATTGGATTTAAATTTCAGATATGCATTTTCCACGAAACCATTTTCACTACCAGCACGCACAATAATAAATCGTTGTCCTTTTGAAACTGGCCTGTGAAGGCCTTCATTGATATTATTGCTCCAACTATTTTCATGCATATGTGATGTATGGATGTATGTTTCGTCCATATAAATTATAGGGCGATTTTTTTCTCTATATTCTTTCATCCTTCTCAGAAAATTTCTCCTGAGATGCTGAATCTCTGGTTTCTCTATAAGAAGTCTTCTATTAGTTCTTGACTTCTTCCAATCTTTAAGAGGTTTATTTGTAGATTTCTTTCCGGAAAATCTCGGTGCCGTATCAGATAAGCATGGTGAAAGGTTTCATCAGGATACTATGCATATTGAACGACGCTACAATGGAAACTGGTCAGCAGCAACGTTTGCTGATTTTTGTTGATCGATTCGCCGACAAACTTCGATGGAAACGATGAAAAGAAAAAAACTACAAAATAACTTGAATTATATCATCAGATTGAGATAAATATACTGAGATTTCTTCAACTTGTGACTGTAAAATTAGCACATTTCGCTGTAAAACTCAGACCGTAGTCTTTTGACACTTTTTTGTAATTGTTGTTACTTTGATATCATTTTTTAATTAAATTGACATTATATTTATAATCTATCTGCTGTATTTATTTGCATGTCAAATTCCGGGCTTAGTGTAGAGCATGAAAACATTCAGGAGAAAAATAAATTGTTTTTTGCAGACCAGTGCAATTCATGCTACAAACTAAATACAAAATAGCAAACAATCTCAACGGAGTCACGCGGATTACAGAAGCAACACAAAACATATGTCAATGTCAAGCAGAGCGGTTGAATCGGGAACCGCTACGACAGAAAGTTGAAACTTCGTCAAGTCTAGCGTCAGCGGAATTTGTGTTTATAAACAGTTTAACGTCGAACGCACGATTCAAGTTCTGCGTTACGGCAATAGTTGGGCACTGGTGCCGAACATCACAATTTATAAATTGAATCTTGTACTTGACACGCCACTTTTTAATTTGCCGCTTTCCTGGACTATTTAGTTATGTTTCAACACGAGCGACTATGGACTTTTATCAGCATCATCGTGTGCGTATTTCAATTCATCGTCGCGTCGCATCATAACAAAAACACTGTTGTTATCTCTATGACCGATAAGTCTCCGCAAGTGGATGCGACGTTAGGCTAAAGATTATGTTTTATAGCGGGAAATTATTTTTTATATGGCACTGATAAAGCGCTGAAACTAAAAACAATAATAAAGTTGTATTGTAATCTGCAAAATGTTCCTATTTGCATGGTGCAAAGAACACGAATGGATTAATTGGGTCTGCGAAAGGTTGGGAAAACTCGAAAACTATTAGCTTTAGACACTCCTAACAAGTTAACCTTTCTTTGTTGTGAAAATACAAGAAAATAAGATTTTTCGGTCATTTTTTGTATACAGAGACGCAAGGATACGTTATTTGCCGAAATAGTGCTGTAAGTCGCGCCCTCTAGAAGTTTGGTCATAAAAAATAACGGATTCTTGTTTCTCATACTAGAAAACCTCGCTACACCAGGTTTTATGCCAAAATCTGAAATACTTCTCAAGAAATACGGAAAAATATAAATAAAATTGTAACTTTGACGCCCGGTATCTCGCAAACTATCAACTTTTGGACGTAGGTATGTTTAGGTCATTTCACAAATTTTGGTCTGTAGTATCTCCAGTTTTGAGATTTCCCAACCTTCCGCAGACACCCTGTATACATATCTAATAATATGGGTACATACTGTTAACGTTGATTATATATAGTAGATCATTCAACTAGAACAGTAGTACCAGACAGGCATGTTACAGTGTTCCAGACTATGGAAATTATAAATCGCCATTTTACGGTAGGCGCCATATTGTATATAGAATGATGTCATTTTGCTCATTGTTTTTGACTCGGCAGGTTCACTCAATTGCTCTATATCATAGGAGTGTCTGTGAAAAATGTATATCGCCATTTTGCTGCGGTCGCCATGTTGGATGTTTAGAATAATATAATAATAATAATAATAAATGCGCTTTATTTCATACCTAAGTAAATGTACAAAAAAGGCGAATTGTCGCTAAGATTAGCGTTTTTCAACTTTACCTTATATATCACTTTGCTTATTGTGCCTTGTAAAAATGGATCGCTGCAAAATGTTAGATTATGGCTAGTTATAACTAACATTAGTATCCAAACAGTTAGCTAGATTTGAAAATATCTGTCCTCGACGGTAGCTGGAGATAAGTCTGTTAACGTAGCAAAAATCTTTCTTTAACATCAATAGCTGCTGTAACGCATGTGATTTGGATCCGAGGTTAGAAGAATCAGATCCATCCCGTTTCAGGCATATACTAAATAAATGCAGATTTAGTTTCACGGACTGACGTAGAAATAGTTATAAATATGATATCAAATCTCATAACAATGCTTTTATCAAATAAGAAACCTCAGATGCTTTCAAGATAATACGGGAATATTTAATGGATTATAAGGAAAATATGGACGACAAGCATTAACAGTTTTCTCATAGAACGGACCATATGAAATGCTTTTTCTAGTTCACTATAAGCCAATATATGGAATTTTGTCTTTGAGGCTTCCTGCGCCGCGAAATTTGTTGCGTATGAAGAAGATTAAAGTACCGACACAAATAGTGATGTACGGTATCGTTCAGTTTTTGACTGTCAGGTTGACATTACCGTGGAATTGCTCTATTGTCTGTGCAGTGCTGCGCTTCAGGAAATTATTTTTATCTATACTTTATATCGGTGATAATAGATATAAATAAATTTATCGTTCGGCCTTGGTTAATAAACAACATTTGAACAGCTGTTGAACCGCACACGTTCTATTGATTATTTTCGTTTGTGAGTTAACGAGTTCACGCGGTATATACAGTCCAAATTGTTGTTGCTGGTATTTGCCTGGTTTAGTTACAGGTTAGTTGGATTTGTATATTTTGGTTGTATATGGCAGATGGATTGTACTCTGCAAGTGAACATGTGACGTCTCTTACTTTTCTAAGAAATCGTGAATATTATGTACAACGGTGTTTAACATAAAAGCTTATAGAAATACTATATAGAATTCAGTTTACGTGAACCAATTTCAAGATATAGCCTTTAAATCTGTTCAACAATGACACATAATTATTTTTCAGTTTCTGTCAAGTTTAAATATGACGCCAAGCAGATTAACTCTCTACTTTCCAATTCTGCCGTCAATCAGATTATGTTCGCTTTATTTCCAAACCTAACACCTGAAGATGATTAAGAAAACTGCCAAAGCAAGTTGCATGAGAAATGTCTAACATATGGAATATAACTTCCATGATTTTAGTATTTTTGTCTATACTTATAAGATTAATCTGTTGAATTGTACTATACTGAGTGACAAAAAAAGGTAAACACCTACGTATGTTTATCCAATTTTAATAATTTATTGGTCAAGTTTTTCTAATAAGTTTTTTTGGTGGCTGCGTGTATTGTTTGGTGATAAAGAAGTATTCCGTTTTCGTACATTTACTGTGTCAGTTAAATGTTAAATTTTGTGTAACTTATTGAGAAGCCTTTTTGTGATTGCTCAAAATGCCTAGAGTTCGTAGAATTCACCGGGTGCACCAGCTAAGTGACTTTGAGAGGGGTCGAATTGCCGGATTGCGTGAAGCCGGTCTATCGATAAGAGAAAAGTTTCTAGGAGGACCAACAGATCCTTATGCAGTATACTGCAGCGTGAACGAGCGAAGACTCAGGAAGCCCGATGACAGCGAACGAAGGGTTCTTCTGGATGTCCCAGAGGGACCACAGAGCGACAAGACCGCCAGTTAAGACTTCTGGCTCTAAGAGACAGATTGAGTAGTACTCGAGCCATCGCTAATCAGAGCATGGAAGGTTGGTTGGTATGTGTATGGTATATCGCCGTTCGCTGTGGTGTAGACAAAGAATTTTATGGTACTGGGAATGGAATCAGGTGGTCTTTAGTGAAGAATCCCGCTTCTGTCTGTCTGGGGATGCACGATGGTCGGGCAGGAATGAGAAGGCGATGTGGTGAAAGACGTGACCCACAATTTGTCAATTTGTCAGAGAGGGTCACGTTCACCACACCATGGGAGTTATGGTATGAGGTACTATTGCTTATGGTAGCAGATCACCACTAATTTTCATCTGAGGCAATATGACAGACGGACGCTATATTCAGGAAGTAGTGGAGCCTCATCTTATTCCATACCTAAACACCGAAAATGCCAGACCGCATATTGCCAAAGCATTGTTAGCCTTCATGGATCAATATCGCTATTTACCTTGACCAGCATGATCGCCTGACCTATCTCCAATTGAACATGTCTGGGACATGATAGGTCGCAGGCTCATGAATTTGTAACTCCCTCCACAGACTACAGCAGCTCTTACTCACGAAGTTGCATTAGCCTGGAATGAGATACCCCAACAGGATATCGACCACCTTATCAACACGCTGCCCAGCCGTGTCAATGCGTGTGTACGAAATCGTGGATCCTCAACACATTATTGAACCAGCTTCTGCAGTCAGTGCCAAAAATTATTCAAATCGGATAAACATACGTAGGTATTTACCTTTTTTTTGTCACTCAGTATATGTAGGCAAATTAAATGCTCTTAGAAAAAATTAACCGCGCACATGTGTAACAAAAACGGAATCAAAACTTCCTCAAGATCATAGTGAGACAGACAGGCCAACGAAAATTAGAGTTAATTAGAGGATAATTTTCACGATTAAAACACTTCCTGTCCAATTGGCGTGGGAAGCACAAAATATACATTTCAACAAACCCTATTTTGTATGTAACCCAAAAAGTTATTTTTGAAATCCCACTGTCACACTAAATTTGATTTTTAAGAAACACACTTTGAACAACTTGGCATTATCTTTATTTGATCAAATATTACTAGTAGTACAAAAATGGTTGCAAGACCGTTTGGTGACATCATTAAAGCGATCTTATAATGGTATGGTAATTTGTTATTTTTCATTTTTACATGTTTAATGTTTCATGTGTTCATGCTTTGATCATTCCGTAACATTATGTGAAGCGTTCGTAGCTTTCGTAACGGCTATAATAGCGAAATAGATTTCCAAATAGCCGACAGGCGAACCGCGTTATATGAATGTTGTAATTGTAACTTTTCCACTGATTGCTTATTTTTTATTCTTATTTCCGCAATATCTTTTTATACTGTAAACCCGATCATAGTTCCCAATATAACAGCTGTACATCCCTTACATGCATGTCTTACAGAATCACAACCACTTATCTTTTATGCCCGTTGTTATCGAAAATATTTTCATTTAAAGTCTTAAGGGTAAATGCACTGCGAAGTCTATGTGAGAAGTATGACTATACTCGGGTACCGAAAAAGTACGATAATCGTACGCCGCTGCCAGCGGGGCCTTCATTTGCATTGACAAAGCAGGTGCGCGCGTATCGCAAAAGACACACCGCGTTAACAGGAGCGTGCAATTTGCTATACTACTCTTCTTCCGTTTTGGTACCATACTCGGGGACCGAAAAGGAAGAGAACAGCAAAACACATCGCTCGCCCATGCTAACGTGGTTTCTGGTCAGATCGAAAATATAGGCTAGCAAGGACGTGCGAGGTGTTTCGCTTCTCTCTCCCTTTTCGATTCTCGAATCTGCACGGTGTAAACGTTATGGTAGTCATTATTGAAATGGGTAATAGGGGGGGTCAAAACAAGTCAAAAAGTTCATATGACCCATGGTTCAAAAGTCAATAGATTTTTGTCTAAATGGCGCTATAGTTTACAACTTTAAGTGCTTTATATCGACCACAATCACCACAATCTTACTAATTTTTATAATCTACTCGAAAACGTTTTTAAATTGGGTAATTAACAAATAAATGGCTTTAAGTTTTTCTGAGTTAAGACAAAATTTGTAGTCAGTGAGTAAGTTTCATTAAATTGAATATTTAAAACACACATGACAACAGCGCGTCGGCCTTTCATCACTCTTATCGAGACGGCAATCGATCGCAACCGGTAACAGTGGTTAGTTATCGTTTTGCATAGATAAATTACTTTATCGTTTTGTGGAGCAGAGCATCGGGCGTGTTGTTTTGTTTTTGTTCGCGTACGTCGTCGTGTTTATTTACAATGTTCTCGAATCAAGAGTTCGCCGACATGTTGTTAGTTTACGGTGAAGCTCGTCAGAATTCAAACTTGCAGCTCAAATGTATCGCGACAGATTTCGCCAACGGGTACACCCAGACAGAAGGACATTTGTGCAAGTGTCCCAAAGACTTCGAGATACAGGAAGTCTTCAGCCCACTAATATTCGCACTCGTGAAAGACAGGTTACTGTAGAGCTGGAGGAACAGATTTTAAATATCGTGGAAATCAATGCAGATATCAGCACTCGGGAATTAGACCGCCACGTAGGACTATCGCATACCATAGTCCATAGAATCCTACGGGAAAATTTTCTTTATCCCTACCATGTACAACGAGTGCATGCCTTGTTACCAGAAGACTATCCTCGGAGACTATCATTCTGTCAGTGGATTTTGCACAAACACATTGAAAATCCGGATTTTTTTAAAAACATTCTAGCGACGGACGAATGTACTTTTACGCGAGACGAGATATTAGAGTTCCATAATACTCACACGTGGGCCCAAGAAAATCCTCATACCATTCGTGAAGGTCATTTCCAACAACGTTTTAAAATAAATATTTGGACGGATATTCTTGACGATCAAGTAATTGGCCCTTTCGAGTTACCCCCAAAGGATACCTTAGCTTTCTAGCCAATAACCTACCAGAACTTTTGGAACAGACCTTAGACAACATGCCATTACAACGGAGACAGAATTTGTGGTTTCTTCATGACGGGGCACCACCACACATTTTTAGAGGCGTCATTCAGTATTTGAATGAACATTATCCAAATCGCTGGATCGGTCGAAATGCTCCTGATCCTCGAAAATGGCCAGCAAGATCTCCTGACCTGAATCCGATGGATTTCTGGTATTGGGGAGAACATAAAGGGATGGTTTATGGGGCTGGTCCAATAACAACTGAAGCACAACTTCGCGAAAAAAATGTTAATGCGGCTGAAATAATAAATAGACAACTTCGAGGACCTATAGTAAGAAGAAACTGGGTTCGTCGTAATGAAGCTTGTGTGGAAAGTGGAGGACCACATTTTGAACACCTTCTTTAAATACAAAAAAAAGTGCAGTGTGGGTTTTAAAAAGAAAAACAATGTATGTATGTATCAAAATTGTGTTCCCTATTTATAAGTGAATTTTTTTAATACGTTCAATAAACTTTCACACACCAGGTGAAGCGCTGAGACAGTTAGTGGTAAGTCCGTTTTTTTTAATTGTTTGCATTTTACGAGTACATTATCAAATAATGAAATAATATACTAAGTGACATATAAATCCGAACACCCAGTTTAAATGGTTTTATTTTAATGAAAGTTTTTGAATGTATTTATCTTACTGTAAATAACAAGTGAAAAAATGTTCAGCCTTATCAGTTGGACAGTTTTTATACTGCTTTTTTTAATTCACTAACGCTCTAAAAATGAATATTTCAGCCGCAGTAAAGAATCAACGTTGGCGGATTTTGGTTCTTGACATCCTTTACGATCGGTTACGATGCCTAGAGTACGGAGACCTGTATGATTTCGTCAACTTAGTGAGTTTGATAGGGGCCGTATAGTGGGACTTCGGGAAGCTGGACTTTCTTTTCGGGCAATTGCAGTTAGAGTGCAAAGAAGTGTAGACACTGTGGTTAGGTGTTGTCAGGCATGGCTTCGAGAAGGCCGTACGCAAAGAGCAAGGGGCACTGGACGCCGCCGTAGAACAACAGACCGTGAAGATCGCCGCCTAAGATTATTGGCCTTAAGGGACCGTTTCTCCACTACCAGGTCCATTGCAAATGAATGGTTTGCAGAACACGGAAGACCTATTGGCATGCGACGTGTTTACCGACGAATGAGAAGTTTTGGCTTGTTTTCATACCGGCCACACTGGGTCCTCCCTTTAACTCGAGAACACCGACGTAGTCGCCTTGAGTGGTGCAGACAACGGTCACTCTGGGATCAGGAATGGAACAGTATTGTCTTTAGTGACGAGTCTCGATTTTGTTTAGGCATGCACGATGGTCGTGCCAGGGTTAGAAGGCGACGTGGTGAAAGGAGGAATCCACAGTTTTTTGTTGAAAGACATGTTCATCACACTGTTGGAGTTATGGTTTGGGGTGCTATACCTTCTGGTTCCAGGTCACCTTTAAT